TGAAGCGATCCATGAGTCGATCCTGGCCTTCGCTGAACCAACGTCGACGATCCCTTCGAACCGAACTCCGGCGTGGTTGGCCCTAACGGGCTGTGGATTAGGGTTTGGACCCGAATTGAGGGTGGAAGTTGAAGAGCAGTGGACTCTGGGGTACCTAGGGTTAGGGTTTCGGCGGAGGAGTTTGAGGGGAGAGGAGAGGGACGAGGCGGTAGGAGTGGCTGTGAGAGACAGCATTGCGGAGGAGTTTGAGGGGAGAGGAGAGGGACGAGGCGGTAGGAGTGGCTGTGAGAGACAGCATTGTTTGCTCGGTGAAGGGATTTGGAGGTTGGGGAGGTGGGAATGGGATATTTCTGAGGGACAAATTTTCAAAACAGTCTTTTTGGACTTTTATTCTAAAAAAAAAAAAGAAGACCCCTTTCGAATTTATTTTCAAAAACCGACTTGGTTTGAGCTCTGACGCTGAAACCAAAATATTTTCCGAAACTTCAAGCTAAAACTTCACGGGAGTTCAACTCTCGTGAAATTTTACTGCCTAAACAAACAAACATCACGGGAGTCGAACTCCCGTGAAGTTCCCATTATTTATCGATTCCCACCACCATTCATTCCCGTTATTCATTCCTTAAACCCAAAAATTCTCTCCGCCTTCATTCACGTTCTTCTCCAAGAGGATCGGCCTCGTCCCAGTTCGCGCCCTCCTCCTCTCCTGCCTCCCCTCCCCCCTTCCATCTCCGACCACACCCTCCTCGTCCCTCCGACTCCTCCGCCTCTCCCGTTCGGTCTTCCCTGATCCCGCCCTCGGCCTGCCTCTCCCTTGCGTTTCCTCGCTACTTCCTCCAACCGCCTCCTCGGCCCAGCTCCACTACCTTCCGAGCCCTAGCTGAGCTCTTGGAGCATTCAAGCAGGTAGAACAAGACGAAGGTGGGGGGAAGGGGGGGATCTCAACTTGTTCTCTTCAGTGGAAGCTTCCAAAGAATCACCACATCGATTCCCCTTTCCACTTCGTTTTCTTGCCCTCTGAAGAAATCGCCAGAAAAATTGCCAACCGAAGGAAGCAATTTTGATTCATCGGGTTGTCTTTTTGGGTTGATTTGGATTTTTTTGGAGTTTTTGGTGGCTTGGCGCCGCGGCCAGGGAGGATGTGGAGGGGGTCTGAGGCGGAGGGAACCAAGAATTCATGAAATGAACTTCACGGGAGTTTAACTCCCGTAAAGTTTAGCAGCTTAATTAAATGGCTGCTAAACTTCACGGGAGTTAAACTCTCATGAAGTTTGATGACTTTTTTCGTAAAAACCGATCTGGTTTCAGCCCTGGTTGGTTTTTGCAAATAAAGTTGAAAGATGTCGTTTTTTGGGATTAAGTTTGCAAATAGGATGGTTTTGAAAGTTTGTCCTATTTTTGAGAGTGGGAATGGGACCCGATGACCCGAAAATTGGATTCGGATCTGAACAGAGTTTCGGGTACGGAAAAAGAATTTTTGGACGGTCTATAGAAATTCATATGTACTAGCTAGAATGAGATAATGCGTCCAATCGTCGTCAAGGCACAAAAGCAGTACATACAATAAAAAAAACTAACGCAAACAATTAAACTTCTGATGTAGAATGCGTTGCGAATGTATTCATGGAGAAACCGGATCCATAGAAGACTAAACGGAGTCATGGAAAGGAGTTTTGTCTTACAAAGAAGTACCGATGGTATATATCACCGGAATTGGACAAATGATATATGAAAACTGCATACGTCGACACACTTGTACACTTCTCTTGCTTCTTATATAATTTTATATTAGGAACCATCTATATGTTTTCTTTTCTGCAGTCTGATCCATGTGATTGAATGAAATCATAACGTTTCCTAAAAGGACAAACAACAACATCAAAGCTTTTTATTCCAAATTGCTGAAGTCGGTTGTACAAAATCTTATTCTTTCATTCAATTCTCGTCAGCTAAAACGAAGAACCAAAAAATAAATAAAGCTACTTAAGATCAGCTGCAACATACTCAAATTCAAATTTACACAACAGTAACAGATTAACTTCGCCATGATCTTCCCATGGGAGAGATTTGATTAACATAGTTGACCATTAACATCCAAATTTGGTAAAATATTATGAATCATAGTATAAATATCCTTCGACTCCGCATGTGAACTATCCCCTGCTATGAACCCATGAAAAACACCATCAACCTCAATCACACTTATCCCCGACGACTGCTTAATACCCATCTCATCCATCATCTTCCTCAACTTTATAGCATCCTCAATTCTACCAACCAAGCTATAAAGATTCAAAAGAGCTACATATCTCCCCTCTGCCCTTGGTTCAAGTTCTAGAAGTCTCCTCGCAACATTCAATCCAAGCTCATAATTTTTGTAAGTGAAACAACCACTTAATAACGCACCCCAAGCATATGTATCGCCTTCAAATGGCATGTTTTCGATAAGTATATATGCCTCATCAAGATACCCTCCTCTAGAAAGAACATCGACCATACAATTAACATGCTTGGCATCTGGTTCAATACCGTACAATGTAGTCATGCAATTGAAGCAACAACGAGCATCATCAACCATTCCTCTGTGGCAAAAAGCCATCACAAGCACGACGAAGGTAATGCTATCAGGCAGGGAGCCTAGCTTAATCATTTGCGAGAAGAGCGACAGAGCCTCAGATGCATGCCCGTGGATGGCGAAACCAGTCAACATGGTGTTCCAAGTTTCAAGATTCTTACATTGACTAACTAGAAACAATTCAAATGCTAGATCCAACCTGCCGCACTTAGAGTACATATTAAGAAGAGAATTATTCACAGTCGAGTTGCTGAGAACCCCAAATTGCCTCTCGATATAAGCATGAACCCACTCCCCAAATTCTACACAACCCATCATCGAACAAGCAGATAGCACATTGATTAGAGTTACTTCATTAGGAATAACCTTCGAATTCTGCATCTCTCGAAATAGCTCAAGAGCTTTATCAGGAAGACAACATTGTACATACCCACCTAACATAGCATTCCAAACTATAACATCCTTATCATCAGTCTTATCGAACAAGATCCTAGCGTTAGCAATATCACCACTTTTAAAATAAGCCAAGAGCATTGTGGTAACAAGAGGAGGGTCTTTGTGGGGAATTTCATCGAACAGTTGACGGGCAAAATTCAAAAGATTACTCGATGAGTAGAAAGTGATGACTGATGTTGCGATGAATCGATCAGATTGGAAACCGAATTTGATGATGTGGGCATGGATGGATTTTCCTACTGGGATGGTTGAGGGGAGGGAGCAAGCTTTCATGGCGGAGATGAAGGTGATTTTTGAAGGAGGAGAGGATTGGGCTGTTAGAGCTTGAAGATAATGGAGGACAGAATCTAGAGAATTGTGGATTTTTATTGGTTTTTTTGAGCGTTGGAGTTGTTGGTGATTGAATGTTGGAGGAGGAGCGAAGGAGAGTGTTCCCGCCATTTTTTTCCCTCCTTACGTACACGGGATTTTTGTGAGAAGGTAGTTGGGAGTTGAGCTTTGGAAGTGAGGACACTACTTAACTATAATTGTCACATGCGGAGATTTTTGTTTTGACTTTTCTTTTAGTTTTATAACAAAGATTATAGTCTGATCTCAAAACTAAAGTATTTCATTAAATTACCCTCTCCTTTATTAGGAAGTCTGTAAGGACAACTTTTATAGAAAATGTGGATCAAGAAAATGGGCTAAAGTCAGTTGATCTATGAAACTAGCTGTTGATTCAGATTTGTTAATTATAGAGGGTCCAACTGCCCCCAATGTTTACCGTCTATTTCTATTTCAAAGGATAAGATGAGGCTGTGTAAAATTTTTACTATTTCAAAAGTGGTTTTCACGACAGTGATTTTTAAGACAATAACAGTTTTTTGAATAGTAGTGAAATCTCATGTGGCCACATCTAAACCCTTAAAACTGTAACATACGGTTAAAATTAGGATAATTAGACTCTCTTCGATTACCACCTAAAAAAGTTAATAAACTAACTAGTTAGACAAGAATTGTATCAATCATTGCGTTTCTCTATGATGTTCAAGAATAGAAAAGTTGTCATCAGTTTTGCTTGTAATAGAGCATTTAAAATCAAGAGAAGTGAACTAGTCCCTCGTATTGAAGGGTTAACATTTTCTTAAACCAATCTACACCATTTGTTTTCATATATTTTAGCAAGCAAAAATATTTGTATATCCAAATGCATCTTGGACCAGTTCCGAATGCTGATAGGAAAACCAATTAAAGAGCTTTTTTGGCATTTATTTGAAAGACATAGTGGTCATGTATAAACATAATTAAACATAATTAAGACATTTTAGCTGCTGCTGTAACCATGCTAACAGTCTTTTAACCGAAGCACACCAAATGATGCCTTAGCGAGATCAAACGCTTGGAAACATTATTCGTGAAACTGAATCCTGCATCATTTCAGAGAATCCAGTTCCCATCATTATTCATAAAATCGTATTTTCATACCACTAGCCATGCCAAAATCAATTCTCCTAGCTCAACACAATCCCATTAACACAAAGCCACTGTCCTATAAAGAGCTTCTTGCAGACAAGGTTAGGGTTCAGATCGATGAACTCTCCAGGAGTCAGGTTAAATTTGCGCGTGACATCAAAGCATGTGTCACCGTTCTTCACTCCATGGACCTCTTTGCATATTGGTACTGGCGTTGTCTCGACTCCATCTACAAGTTTCAGACATCAATACATGTTCATAGCAGAGCAATCTAAATTACAAAAAACAAATTGCTTGCTTGGCGATACTTGTACGTATGTGCGACTTTGGTCCAATCCATAATGAGAAAAGAACAATGGACATGTCAATTGCAAGCTTAAACTGTCAGTGATTTAGCTGATTAATTAAGACAGATCACTGACAAATAATAACTCATTAAATTAATCAGTTTGATAGACAATTAGTCATCAAATAAGCGTAATTCTTCATATCTGATGTCCATGAACTAAGGGCAAAGTGCACCTACAAAACACCTGAATGCATCTCTGATTAGCACTAGCTAGGCTCAACTTCAGGCATGACGAGTGTTGCACTGGCCACTTGTCTATGGAAATTCTTTCTTAAATAACATATATACAGTAGTACATATAATTTGAAAACCACTTGATCAGGTTCCAAAAAAAATCTCGATACTAATGGTTTCATACTTACAGCTTAAGACGAAGAGGAGAGAGAGCAAAAGGGTCAGGTTGAGAAACATAGCTTCGGCTTTGTTGTGAGCCTTAGCCATTCTTTAATCTCAGAAGAGTATTAAGCTTTCTTTTCTTTTGTGCTGATGATTGAAGTGAAACCCCCTCATTTATAGAGATGAGTATGAAGAAGAGACCAAATACATAAAGACCAAATAGCCGACACTTTTCTTCTTAATATTTTCCTTTGATTGCCTGCAGGTTGTTGCACTCTTGCAAGCATTGATCCTAGTTTTTCTCTCATTTAAGACAGTTGCTAGAGTTTCACCTGAGGACAACTCCTGCGAAATTTTCAAGGGAAAAGGTTAATGGAGAAGGTATAGATTTTAACGAAAAAATTCTATTGTCTTTTAACTGAAGGGTGAAACGCAAAGAATGCTAGAGCATTTTCATTAGCTACATTTGTATTTTGGGAGCCGTGTCGAGCTGCGAGGGCTACATCTGAAGGGTTGCGGATGGGTTGGGTTAGTCGGATTCTGTTCAAACCCGAAATTGACATGATTCGAATAGGATAATTAACCCATACCCCCATTCTTTTAAACAGGACAAGTGCCTATATATATACACACATGAAAGAGGGTAACGAATGCCGGGCATGCTAACCCGTTTAATAAATAGGTCGGATTTGGTACTGGTTGGGTGTGGATTGATATTTTCTTGAATTGAAAATTAATGTTTGTAATTCTGAAAAAAAGAAATGCACGAATACAATTACATAGAAATGACAAATTAATAAAAATATTAGTACATAGCTGTTTGATTAGGGTTAGTAAATACAAGAGCAATAAGATGTCATGTTAGGTTAAGTAAGTTGCATGTGAAGTTTAAATACCATGTGAAAAGTTAAGGCTTCGTTTGGATACCATGATATTTTTCTTGTTGTATTTTAATAATAAAAAAAGCACCATGGTATTGTGTTTTTCCCTTATAGAGTGTTTTCAAAACACCATGTTTAGTGTTTTTGTTCAACACTAGTTTGACCCGTTACAACATTAGTATTAAACATATTATTAGTATATTATACATTAATTATAATAAAATATATTATAAATAAAATGTTGTAACATTTAGTTCACATTATTATAGTATTATAAGTACTAAATATAATACAATATAATATTGTATAATGTATTACAATATCATATTGTACTTCAATAAGTTATATTATTTTATAATAATTATTTTATTATAATTATTACATATTATTTTCAAATAATTATATTTTTAATTATTTTGGTATATCAATTTGTTTTTGTTATATATTATATAATATTTTTAAAATAACATTATTTTATTATTAACATAATATATTATACAATTATCAATATAATATAAATTATTAATACTTTTAATATTATGTTATTACTAGAATATTATTAATAAGTTAATATATTACAAATATTTTAATATTATATACTATATTATAGTTTATAATATGTTAGACTTTATTAATAATACTTTAATAATATATTAATAATTTATGATATAAATTAATATTATAAAATTATGAATATATTATTTTTACATTAACCTTTGTTAGCAATAAATTATTTTAATATTAAAAATTATTTTAGTTTATAGTATATTAAATTATTTATTATATAGTATCTTGATATTTTATATATTATATTACATTTACTATACAATATATTATTACAATATTGTTATTTTATTATTTTATTATTAAATATGTTACTATTATATAATATTTTATAATTACTAATTTATTATAATTTATTTAAGAAAACGTTAATAATATTATAGTGATTATAATATTGTATAGTCTATTATTATATCATCATTATTATATTCTTTATTATCAATAACTTTTGATTATTTTTAGGGAAAATTGCTTGGAGCAACCAAAGAAAGTTGAAAAAGAAGTACATGTAACCCCCAAATACTGTGTAAACCCACTGCCCAATAAATCTATTCCCAAATTACCCTTCCCAATTTAATACTCCCACACTACAGTCCCTTTCTTCCTCCTTGAGCCTTTCCTCCTTGAGCTGACACGAAGAACTCCCCCTCCCCCAAACACGACAAGCCCTCGTCATCCTCCCCCTCCGCCTTCGCTTTTCGTCCAAGAAAAACCCCTCACGCTCCCTCTCCCTCTCGCTCTTCTTCTTCTTCTTCTTCTTCTACCTCCAGATCTTGAACCCTCACTCAGAAACGAGCTTCGCAGACGCCGCCGGCGACGCCGAGGAAGAAGCATGTTTTGAAAATATTTTAAGGGATGAAAACGAAGACTTAGTTATTCTACAAACACCCCTCGAGATTTTGAGTTACGATTTTCTCTCAAAATATCACTGCCGTCAACGTCCAAGGCATCAACGAAAATAGAGGAGCTAAAGATCACGAAGCCAGACGATTGGCACCTTCACCTCCGCAATGGCGATATTCTCCAATTCGTCACATCTCACAGATCCATTTTCTTCTCTTTTTCCATTTTTTGGGATTTCTTTTTTAAATGGGAATTGGGTTTGATTTCTTGATTTCGTTCAGCGCGAGTGAATTTGGGAGGGCAATCGTGATGCCCAATCTGAAACCGCTAGTGACGACAACGGCTGCGTCGGTGGTTTACAGAGAAAGAATTCTGAAAGCATTATCGCCGAGCTACAGTTTTGATCCTCTATTACGCTGTATTTGACGGATAATACAAAGCCTGAAGAGATTGAGTTTGCAAGTGAGTTCATTTGGTAGTGCTCACATTGTATTTGTCAAAATGATTACCTTTCAAAAAAAATTGTTTTTTTAGCATTTTGTGTTTGATGTTTTGTAGGAAGGAGTGGGGTGATTTGCGTCATAGAATTGTATCCAGTTGGAGCAATTACCAACTCTTGGGATGGAGTTACCGATATTTTTGGGAAATGT